AGGTGTTGCACATAGCTAGTGTAATTGATTAGGCTGTGCAACTACTTGACCTCAGTGTTATTACTAATAATTAAAATTATTACTAATTGTGAATGCCATAAAACATTATCAAAAAGTAAAATTATTTTTGCCTGCAAGAATATTCACAAATTGAATATTGAAGAAATTGGAAACTTGCTTCATTGAGAAGCAGGAATTATGTCACAGCCTTTATGTTGTCCATAATTCTAGAATGAGTTAATAACACTAGAATTTAACACTGATGGAAACTTTTTACCTACATTTTCTGTCTTATCTATATTATGTTTGAACAAAGATTAATGATACTTGAAGATCAGTATTGTCTTTACACGTGGTATTGTAAATCTAGCTCCTTGATGAGCTACCCTAAAAGGGAAATAAGGTATCATGGTAAAAGTCACCTGAAATTAATGTCATGTATGATTATATTAATTACTATTTGTTTGTGATATATGCTAGGTAATTACAAATATTCAAATGTCATTTATGAGACACTTTTACAAATGACCTAATAAAGCCTCTTTACCTTTTTATAATTGTTTTAACTTTTCATTGCTGCTTCCCATAAGTAATTTTCTTTACACTCGTAACACTCTCAAAAGATGTAAGGACAATTAGTTATAGTACCCATCAGAGTGGTAACAGAGCTGAAGCACAATGAATTCCATAGTTAATCCAGGGCCTTACAGTTGCCAGAATGAAAATATCCTCATTTTATCACTTTGTTCTTCATGACACATTAAGCTTTTCTTTAAATATATGATTACTCATAAGCTTAAATTCAGTTGTAAAAATGAAATATATGCTAAACATGTACACATTTATGTCACATAAAAGTCATAATAATGTTTAAATTTATTTCCCTTTGTTTTAAATTGGGATTTCCTTGAAGGCAAAATTTTTCAGGGAAACTCTCCACAATTAAAATAATCAAGATGAGTCTAAAATATTATTAAATGATTAATATATTCTTCCTTAATGTTAAAGTTTTTCAATTTAGTAGCCTCCGTGATACCTAACAATGATCCTGATCTCCTAATATTCCTGCTGTTTTCTCTCACATTTGATAGGGATGACTTATATAACTAACATATCATTGAAGATGATGCAGTGCAACTTTCAAGTTTAGCCTAGAAAACTTTGCAGATTTTGTGTGATTCTTGGAACATTTGCTCTGAAATAAGCCAACTGCCATATTGCAAGGACACTCAAGTACCACTATGGAAAGAACCATGTGACATAACTGAAGCCTTCTGTCTGTAGCCAGAAGGGAGGCTTCTCTTCAAAAGACATTGAGTGAGCCACGTTGGAAGAAAATCCTCTTGCACAAATCATGCCTTCAAATAACTTCAGCCCTAAACCACTTCTTGAATGCAGCCTCATGAGAGACCCTGAGTCTGATTCAACAAGCTAAGCTGCTCCCAAATATCTGACCCACAGACACTATGAGATAATAAATGATAGTTATTTTGAGATTCTATGTTTCAGGGTAATTTTTATGTAGAAACAAATACAGTTACTCTAATATTCCTCAACACACCCAAATTACACTATGTAGTCACTACTCCACCTACTATCATAAAAGAAGGATGTTATTTAAGGTTTAAAAAGGGGCACCAGTAGAGATGGCTATAGAAGGGAGTTGAATGAAAAGTCTCAGAGGAGCTGGTCTTGAGAACAAAGGAAGAAGAAAGACAGAATAAGGAAAGCAAAATTTTTAGCAAAGCCAACAGACAATATATAACCAAAGTATATAATCAAAGTATAAAAATGTATTGTTCTTATAGGAAATTTGAGGAAGTTCATTGAGGAAGTTCAAGTTAGCAAAGCTTTTGTTGCTTGTGTGGGTGAAGTGGTGAATGAGCCTGAAGAGGAAAGCAGGTAAATAATAATGAAGGGCCATAGTTGTGTGAAAGGCAAACCTGAGAAGTTAACATTTTTATCTGAAGGATCTGAGTTATCACTGAGGCTTCTACGTAGAAGTATGAATAAAATTTTTAAATTAAAACCAATTAGAAGATGGTTGCAATAATCCCGGCAATAAGCAATAAAGAAAACTAAGAATTTGTATTATAGACGCAGAAGCTGATGATAATCTTAATAGGCAGAGAGTAATAACAGTGAAAAGTAAAGCTAATATTTATTTCACACTTGCTATGTGTCAGACATTCTTATTAAATGCCTTACAGGTATTATCTCATTTAATAGTTATGAAAAACTATGAGATAGGCACTACTATTATCTTTATTACACACATTAACAAACTGTGGCACAGATAGAGATGGTAACATTTCAAGTAAATGGCAGAGCTTAGATTCAGTCTATCATTGTATTATTCCAAGTTTAAGTACTTTTCTTGTAAAACGTTCACATTAAATAAAAATGCATTAGATTTTTGTACTTAAGAGGTAATTGATGGCCTTACCATCAATGAGGTATTCGTTAAATATTGTTGCATGAAAAAATTCACTTCACACCAACAATCTGATTGAAAACAACAAACATTTATTATGTCAGAGTTCCTGGAGGTCAGAAATGAGATAATAGCTTAGCTTGGTGCCTCTAGTTCAAGGTCTCTCATGAGGTTGCAGTCAAGCTGTTGTTTCAGGCTGAAAACTCATCTAAATACTTAACTAAAGGGTAGAAAAGTCCACATCCAAGCTCACTGATGTGAGCCTCTACATAGTGCTTTCTGACCACATGGCACTGGACCTCTCTCTATGTGAATGATCCAAGACAGTAGGAATGAGCATCCAAGTTGAGGTAGGAATTATCAAGGACCAACTTAGAGGCTGCTGATGAAAAATGGCATCATTTTCTCATAATGATAACAGTATGTATGTGTGTGTGTGTGTGTGTGTGTGTGTGTATGTATGTATGTATGTGTGTGTGTGTGTGTATATATCTATATAGATATCTATATAGATATCTATATATCTATATATAGATATCTATATCTATCTATCTCTATATAATTACATACACAATACTTCCTGCTTACCTATGTTTATTCTTACCATGGTTTCATTTTACCTATAGTTAACTACAGTCCAAAAATACTAAATGGAAAATTCAAGAAATAAACAATTCCAAAATTGTATTTTGTTTTTTAAAAAAATATTTATTGGCCGGGCGCGGTAGCTCACGCCTGTAATCCCAGCACTGTGGGAGGCCGAGGCGGGTGGATCACGAGGTCAAGAGCTCGAGACCATCCTGGTCAACATGGTGAAACCCCGTCTCTACTAAAAATACAAAAATTAGCTGGGCATGGTGGCGCATGCCTGTAATCCCAGCTACTCAGGAGGCTGAGGCAGGAGAATTGCCTGAACCTGGGAGGTGGAGGTTGCGGTGAGCTGAGATCGCGCCATTGCACTCCAGCCTGGGTAACAAGAGCGAAACTCCATCTCAAAAAACAAACAAACAAACAAACAAAAATATTTATTTTAAGTTCTGGGATACATGTGCAAGATGTGCAGGTTTGTTATATAGGTAAACATGTGCCATGGTGGTTTGATGCACCTATCAGCCTATCACCTAGGTATTATGCCCATCATTTGTTAGCTATTTTTCCTATGTTCTTCCTCCCCCTGTCCCTGCCATAGGCCCTAGTGTGTGTTGTTCCCTTCTCTGTCCATGTGTTTTATTGCTCAACTCCAACTTATACGTAAGCACATGTGGTGTTTGGTTTTCTGCTCCTGTGTTAGTTTGCTGAGGATAAGGGCTTCCAGCTCCATCTATATCTCTGCAAAGAACATGATGTCATTCCTTTTTATGACTGCATAATATTCCGTGGTGTATATGTCCCACATTTTCTTTATCCAGTTTATTATTGATGAGCATTTGGGTTGATTTTCTCTCTTTCCTTTTGTGAATAGTGCTGCAATGAACATATATGTGCATTTATCTTTATAATATAATGATTTATATCCCTTGGGATTGTTGGGTCAAATTTTATTTCTGGTTCTAGGTCTTTGAGGAATCTCCACATTGTCTTCCACAGTGGCTGAATTAATTTAAATTCTCAAAAACAGTGTGAAAGCATTCCTATTTCTCCTCCACCTCACCAGCATCTGTTATTTCCTTCAATTCCCTTGTTAGCTGTATTCCTAGGTATGTTATACTGTTTGTAGCAATTGTGAATGAGAATTCATTCATAATTTGGCTCTCTGCTCATCTATTGTTGATGAATAGGAATGCTTTGATTTTTGCACATTGATTTTGCATGACTTTGTCTTTTCCTATTTGAATACTCTTTATTTTTCTGGCCTGTTTGCCCTGGCCAGAACTTCCAGTACTATGTTGAATAGGAGTGGTGAGACAGGGTATCTTTTTCTTGCATGGGTTTTCCAGGGAAATGATTCCAGCTTTTGCCCTTTCAGTATAATATTGGCAGTGGATTTGTCATGAATGACTCTTACTATTTTTAGGCATGTTTCTTCAATACACAGTTAATTTAGTTTTTTAGCATGAAGAGATTTTGTATTTTATTGATGATCTTTTCTGTGTCTATTGAGGTAATCATATGGGTTTTTTTGTCTTCAGTTCTGTTTATGTGATGAATTACATTTATTGATTTGTATGTTGAACCAGGCTTGCATCCCGGGATGAAGCCAACCTGATCATAGAGCATAAGCTTTTTGATGAGCTTCTGGATTCAGTTTGCCAGTATTTTATTGAGGATTTTGCAACAATATTCATCAGAAATACTGGTTGGAAGTTTTCTTTTTTTGTTGTAACTGCCAGGTTTTGGTATCAGAATGATGTTGGCCTCCATAAAAGGAGTCCCTCCTTTTCCACTGTTTGGCAATTTCAGAAGAAATGGTACCAGCTTCTTTTTGTACCTCTGGTCAAATCCAGCTATAAATCTCTCTAGTCCTGGGCTTTTTTTTGGTTGATAGGCTATTTATTACTGCCTCAATTTCAGAGCCTGCTATTGGTCCATTCAGGGATTCAACTTTTTTTGGTTTAGTCTTGGGAAGGTGTATGTGTCCAGGAATTTCTCCCTTTCTTCTGGATTTTCTAGTTTATTTGCACAGAGGTGTTTATAGTATTCTCCGATGGTTATTTGTATTTCTGTGGGGTCAGTGGTGATAATCCCTTTATCATTTTTTATTTTATCTACTTGATTCTTCTCTTTTTTTCTTCTTCTTCATTAGTCTAACTAGTGCTCTGTTACCTTTTTTTTTTTTTCCAAAAACCACCTCCTGGGTTGATTTTGAAAGGAGATTTTCTTGTCTTTATCTCCTTTAGTTCCATTCTCATCTTGGTAATTTCTAGTCTTCTGCTAGATTTGGGGTTTGTTTGCTCTTGTTTCTCTTGTTCTTTTTGGTTGTAATGTCAGGATAGTCAATTTGGGATATTTCTTGCTTTTTGATATGGGAATTTAGTACAATAAATTTCCGTTTTAACACACTTTATCTGTGTTGCATAGATTCTGGTATGTTGTCTCTTTGTTCTTACTGATTTCAAAGAATTTCTTGATTTCTGCCTTAAATTCATAATTTTCCCAGGAGTAAAACAGGAACAGGTTGTTCAATATCCATGTAATTGTGTGGGTTTGAATGAGTTTCTTAGTCTTGAGTTTTAATTTGATTGTGCTGTGGTCTGAGAGACTGTTTGTTATGATTTCAGTTCTTTTGCATTTGCTGAGGAGTATTTTACTTCAAATTATGTGATTAATTTTAGAGTAAGTGCCATATAGTGCCAAGAAGAATGTATATTCTGTTGTTTTTGGGTGCAGAGTTCTATAGCTATCTATCAGGGACCACTTGATCCAGAGCTGAGTTCAAGTCCTGAATATCTTTGCTAATTTTTTGTGTCAATGATCTGGCTAATATTTACAGTGGAATGTTAAACTCTTTCACAATTATTGTGTGGGAGTCTTAGTCTTTTGTATGTCTCTAAGAACTTGTTTTATGAATCTGGGTGCTCTTGGATTTTACATATATATATTTAGGAGAGTTAATGTAACGCTCTTCTTTGTGTTTTTATATTTTTGTTAGTTTAAAATCTTTTTTGTCAGAAACTAGGATTGCAACCCTTACTTTTTTCTGCTTTGCATTAGCATGATAGATTTTCCTATATCTCTTTATTTTGAGCCTATGTGTGCCTTTGCACAACATGCATCTCTTGAACACAGTAAAATAAATGGGTCTTGACTCTATCCAGCTTGCCATTCTGTGTCTTTTAATTGGAACATTTAGCCCATTTACATTTAAGTTTAATACTCTTATATGTGAATTTGATCCTGTCATCATGATGCTAGCTGCTTGTTTTGCAGACTTGTTGGTGTAGTTGCTTCATAATGTCATTTGGTCTTTATGCTTCAGTGTGTTTTTGCAGTGGCTGGTAATGGTTTTTCCTTTCCATTTTTAGTTCTTCCTTCAGGAGCTCTTGTAAAGCAAACCTGGTAGTGATAAGTTCCCTCAGCATTTGCTTTTCTGAAAAGGATTTTATTTCTACTTTGCTTATGAAGCTTAGTTTGGCCAGATATGAAATTCTGGGTTGGAAATTATTTTCTTTAAGAATGTTGAGTATTTGCCTCCAATCTGTTTTGGCTTTTAGGGTGTCTGCTGAGTGGGGTAGTGTTATTGTAATGAGCTTCCCTGTGTAGATGACCTGGCATTCCTCTCTGGCTGCCTTTAACATTATTTCCTTCATTTCAACCTCGGAGACGCTATCTGATTATTATATATGTTTTGGATTTCATCTTCTCATAGAGGCTTTCTGGAGTTCTCTGAAATTCCTGAATTTAAATGTTGACCTCTCTTGCTAGTTTGGGGAAGTTCTCCTGGATGATACCCTGAAGTATGTTTTCTAACTTAGTTCCATTCTCCCCTTCTGTTTCAGGTACCCCAATCAGTCGTTAAGTCTGGCCTTTTTACATAATCCGATATATGTTATATGTAAAATATAAGGAGAAAGTGTTCTTCTTAGGAAAAATTGGATGAGGTATTGTGACTAATGAATAATAAGGCAAATATGACAAAATCTTGGATTATATGATGGAGTATTGCAAATATGGAAGTTCTTTTTACTATCACATAAATGTTTTGATGATGCTGAAATTATTTCAAAGCACACCCCCCACAAATACACAAATAACACCAAGATATTTTTGTATAAAGATTATTTCTAAACTTTGAAGAAGAGGATCCACTTCCCACTACCAAAACTGAAAGGTTAGCAGATCCTTATGTTCATCACCCACACTCCTTTTAGATGTTGTATCTGTTACAACATATTGGATGCATATGTTACATAGAATATGCAGTGTTGCTTTAAATGTGTATATTTTAATTTTTATTTTGCTATACATCCACTTTAGTATCCTATCTTTTTAAAACTTAGTGCCTACTTTGAGCTCTATCTATATTGTATGTTCCATTCAGTTCACTGATTGTAACTTATAATACATTCCACTAGAAGAACTTATAATATTTTAAGATTTTTTTCTTCCAGTGATGAGCATCTAGGTTGCTTCTAATTTCTCAATGACACAGAAAAACCTATAATAAACTGCCTTTGGTATATCCACTTAGTGATCTGTGTGAGAATTTCTTCTGGACATAACCAGATCCCTGAATTATAAGCTGTCTGTATACATTATGTCTCTAAATACTTCCAAATTTATTTCCAAAATGGCTGTAACAAAGGTCCCTGGTTGGTTTTTAATGTTGCTAATATCTTCTTCATCAGTATTGTCTATGATGTACTACATTAAACTTATACCCTTAATTTTGCTATATTCACACAAATTAAGCTCTTAATAAATGTGGGCTTTAAGTAATTTTTCTTCATTCCAAAGTTACAAAAACATTATTCTGTATTTTCTCTATTATAAAATATTACTATTCACATTCAAATCTTAAATTATTCAGAATGCCCTTTGTGTGTAATGTAATTTAGAGATTCAACTTTTTTTTTTTTTTTACATATAGCAAGCCATATTTTGGAACGTTAAACTGCTTTTAAATACATCCATGAAAGTTTGCCAACTACTCAGAAGATAACATCAACAGCAAAACATACTTTTTTTTTTTTTTACATATAGCAAGCCAGTTTTTTTGTTTTTATTGCTATACCCTGGAAATCAACATTTAAAAGAAAATTTGACATGCGATTTGTCAAAAAAAAGCCAAAAATTGATATTTTTAGCAAGCACAATTAAAAGACTAAGAAAAATAAGAATTTATCGAAGCTAATTCAAAATAAACTATGGCGCAGATCCTACAGACAATAGTATAAGGCATGAAAATGAAATATTAAGTAGAAACATTGAAAAATGTTTTTACTCAAAGTTAATATGGTTGCATACATAGAATATCCAATAACAATCAAAAATTTGTTGAAACAAATAAAAACATTCAGTGAAATGACTGGATGTAAAATAAATATACAAAAAGCTAACTTTTTTATCTACCTTAATAAAAAGCAGCCATGGAATCAAAATATCCTTGTCTAAATTGAGAAGAAATTTTAAATGTGCATATGTTAATTACCTAGTTAGTCATTCTATGATATGTGTATATTTCAAAACAATACATACAATTTTATGTCAATTAAAGTACCCATAATAATGATACAAGACCTTTTTGAAGAATATTATTCTTTTTTAAAGCACTATGTTAGAATGTATTGTTGTTTTAATACTACCTTCATTGCACGGTACAATCTCAGCTCACTGTAACCTCTGCCTCCCGGGTTCAAGTGCATCTCCTGCATCAGCCTCCCAAGTAGCTGGGATTACATGTGTGCACCACTACACCCAGAAAATTTTTTATATTTTTAGTAGAGTTGGGGTTTTGCCATGCTGGCCAGGCTGGTCTCCCAAAGTGCTGGGATTATAGGCACGAGCCACCGCACTATTCTGAGCATTTTAATCTTCCTTACTTCATTTCACTGTAGTTTGAATATTGCAGCAGAATCATAAATTTAACAATTGAACCAATGCCTATATGTTGGGTTTTGCTGATCTCTAACCCATTTACCAATTTTGAGACATAAGGGTCTATTGTAAGTTTGTGGTGAGGTGTAACCGTAGGCCCATTCTGCTCCTCCATTTTTTCCTCCTGTCTCATTTTACCACATTGGCTAGCTCATTCATAGAGCTGCTATAGACAATGACTGGAGGTTCACTTTGTAAATGTTTCAACATTCCTTTTACTTATCTGAGGCAGGCAGGCCAAAAGAGGCTGCCTGCCTCAGATGAGAAAAGGAATGTTTTTTAATACATGACAGTTTTTTAAAATCTATCTGCTATTTTCTGCTTTTAATGGAGTAACTTGTAGAAGTAATATTAAACAATTTTACTTAATTTCTGCAGCAGATTACTTTTGGAAATTGCAAGAATAACTACTATCACAGGTTATTTGTTCAAATGTCATCAGATCTTGTTTATAATTTTATAGAGTAATATGTTAAAAAAGATTTTGGATACAGATATCAATACACCGTTATAATGAATAAAATGTATTTGAAATATGTCCAGATTAATTTCATTTATTATTTTAACATTTGCAGCATATTTTAACTAGAACTTTAAAAAACCATGTGCAAAGTGCTGACCTAGAAAGAGGCCTCTTAAAAATCATTTACTATGGATTTCTTACAGAACGAAACACTCCTCTCTTCTGTACTTGCCATCAATTTCTTGTCAGATCCAATTCAAAAATCTGATTCTGATCCTTTAAGACTTGATCAAGGTAGATAGGAAGCTCTGCCCTCTAATGTACTGTACTTTTTACGAAGTGGGACCTTTAAAAGCGTATGCACACAGTAGTAGATATTTGCTACATGATGAAAGTAAATGAATAATTATTCTATTACTATTAAAATAAAATTTTATAACTTTGCAGAAGCTTGCATATCGTGACTTCCTTTACTAATATGAAAGTGTTCTGTTTTGTCATAAGAAATTGCATACACTTTTCTTACATCTTCATTACTTAAATAAAGTGTTTCTAGCAGAGCACCTTTCAGATTGCAAAGTGCCATCAACATACATTGTTCAACTTCATAAATTGTAAATTGTTATTTTCTAAAATCATCATAAATATTCAGGAAGATTTCAAATCTTTTAGATAAAAGCACAGGCTGCACTCCCCTGAAATCCATCAGACACTTCATATTTTCTTATCCTATAGAAAATATGTGAAAAGCGGCAATCACAAACTTCATTAACAGGCCTAAATCATGTGCCCTGGATAACATAAAAGTGAGAGTTCATATATAAGTTATGTTGACCAGCACCAGCTATATAATTGGTGAGGCCAAATGAGAAATGAAAACTTAAAGGCCCTTGTTTAAAAATTGTTAAAGATTTTAAGATAGGAACAGTAAAGCATTAAATCAAGCATTGTGTCCTTTTGACTGTGGTTCTCTAAGTGACCGCACAGTTTGCCTGCCCATGAAGTGATCCTAATTTTGACTGTGTGTATGCAACTGTTTAACAGAAATACAAAATGTGAAAACTACTATTTGTCTGCCACAGTGTTGGGTTCTCATATCTTGGATCTTTTTTCTATAAAACAGAAACCATTGAGAACTACTGTTGTCTTATTCTAGGGAAGAAGACACATACGCAAAGATTTTGCAATTTCACCCATGTCTTCTGGAATATAAAATGCTTCTACCCTTAATTTTTATTCAGAGATGAATTCTAAATTAGTGATTGCAATTATAAAGGTGAGGATTTGAAAGGGGTTTAATCTAATCAAGAACTTTGAAAGATCTACCAAGTGCAGCTAAAAGAAAGGTTTTTCTAGTCAGTCTCTCTGCTCCCAGTACCAAGCTTGTGTTTAGGGAATTCTTATGTGATTCTTTTTCATGACTTTAAATATTTCCACAAAGTAGAACATTTGTCTTTTGCTTTCAAGCTCTTTTGCAGTATCTTTAAGTAGCATAGGGTTAGAGATAAAATAT